ACCCATGGGTGCGAGCAGGCGCCGTGACTTCCGCGCTTGCTCGTGTTCGTGCTGTGCTCTGCCCGCCGGGAACGTCCTCAGAAGGTCCCGCTCTGCAAGCGCGTGAAGAATGGGCCCTGCCACCCCTAAAACTGTGCTTGGGGGCGATTGGAGGGCGCCTTGGGTGCGCCCCAGCCGGCCCTCCCGTGTGCCCACGGGCACGGCGCCCGCCTGGCAGGGAGCTGGGTCTGAGCGGGGTGGGAGGCGGTGGTGGTGGCAGGCTGACCTGGGGGCAACTGCGGCGCCGCCGCTCTGGCCAGTTCTGCGACACGTTGCCAGTCTCTGCGAAATCCAGAGGGTGGGGGGGCTTGTTAACTACTGGGGCCCAAAAGCTGCTGCGGGATCCTCCTTCTCCTGCTCTCCGCTTTGCTAAAATGGGAGAGACTCCTACATGTTGCTTCAGCCCGGAATCACAGGAGCAAAGCATCTCCGTGCTTCCAGCTTTCCTTAGGCCCAGCTTTGGTTTTCCTCTGCTTGCTGTGACCCTGCCAAACAACCAGCAGGGAGATGTTTGCTCCCCAACCGACGGCATCCCCAGCTGGGTCGTTTGCTGACGGCATCCCCAGCTGGGTCATTTGCTGTATCATCTCGCAGCTTGGCTGCGTGCAGGGATCAGGCCTTAGGAAGTCCTTCAGATGCTCTTGGTGTCCTCGCCACCAGCGTTATTCCGGCTCGGGAGTAATCGCAGTGCAGTGAGAATCCACCCTGTCACCAGCCCAGGGGTGCCCAGCTCCTGCTGGTGCCCAAGCTGGCTGAGACAACGCTAGCTCAGGTCTCATTTTTGGCCCCTTTTTCCCGCCTCAACTTGCTGGTCTTGGGCAATGATGAGATCGAGGGATTTTTTGCAGGGCTGGGCTGGAGCCAGTTTCCCCCAGGTGGTCCATGCGCATCGCTCGCAAGCGTGGGCTGCTTCTCGAAGCCTTGCCCAGCTCTGGTAGGGTGAAGGCAGCATCTTCATGGTGTTGCTGCTGAAGGCTGTGACCCCAGGAGACTGTGGACAGGACATCCATTTAGATGGATTTTTCCATCATTTCCTGTGCCCAGGAGGAATGCAGGAACGTGGGGCCTGGTGGGGAAGCCCAGAGATAAATGAAGGTTGACCACAGCCAGTGCCAGCAGCTCTCCCACCCCACATTGGTGGGACAAGTCCCAGGGGAAGCGTCCTTTCACAAGAAGTCACCAATTTATGTTTCCCCTGTAGCATTCTCTGTGGGCTTGTTTCTAAGAGGTTTTTAGTTTGAAAAGTAATAGTTTTGGATGCATTGAATATGGTGTTTTGGTTTCTGTCACCTAAAACCTTCTATAGTTGAAGAGAGCTTAGAGCAGAGAGCTGCTAGGAACCATAAAGTTGAAAGTTTTAGCTTTTGTCCCTTTTGGCCTCTGAATCCTCTGCGTCTGGTGAAAATAAATAAAAATGTACAAAGTCCTTCATTTCGCTTGCGTGGGTGAGACACAGTGTCCAGAGCAGAGCAGATCCGGGCTATTTGGATCCAGATGTGACTTCCCCAAATGTCAAGTCAGATGGTTGGCACTTGCAGCCATTCCTCCTCCATCTCACTTCCAGCAGCCTCTGGGAGACGCTTCTGGCCATATCCCCAGCCAGTTTGCATCATTTCCCACGTGAGCTGGTCCTTAATGGTTTGCTGTGGCTCTGGTGGGGTTGTGCATGTAGACCCTTTGGTGGCCATAGTGTCTTGCAGTAATGGCCACGTCATGCTCTGAGCACACATGTGTTTGCCTTGTGGAGCCTAGAAGAAGCCTGAGAACCTTGGCAGGTTCCCGGTCCAGCCATTCACAAGTGCTGAGTGACATCTGGAAGATGTTGCCCTTGGGGTGGACCATCGCTGGTGCCGCAGGATGATGCTTGGCATCGCCCCTGCCTCGCCCTGATTGCTTCCCTGTCTCTCTTTGTAGGAGCTGAGAGATCTGGCATCCAAACACCCAAACCTGGTTCTTGTGAAGCTGGGTAGGTGCGCTCTGCCTCTGAGCTGGTAAATTTCTGGCTACCAGCCACACTTGCCTGTTTCTCCATCCCTCTTTCCTCACCTTCAGGCTCTACCTGAGGATCCAGTTCTTCAGAGCTGCTTCAAGTCCTGATGCCAAAAGCCCAGCTTCTCTAGACCTGTCTCAGCCCCAGTACCCACTTCCCTGGAGCCTCCTTGCCCTGTGGCCACAGGACCAGGAGGTTCTTGAGACCCATCCCTGGTGGCCTCCAGCCCCCCCAGCCAAGAGGCCACGTCCTTGCCCCACGGGGCTGTCCCCAGAGTGGCTTTGCCCGGTGGGGCTGTCCCAGGGCAGGGTCCTTCAGCTGCTGGTAGTGGGGTGCCCTGTGCATGGCGGAGGAGGCAGTTTTGGGATGAGCTGGGGCTGGTGGGTGCTGGGATGCTCTGAGCTGGTTGCACAGCACCATCTGGTGCCCGCAGATGGAAAGCCAGACAGGTTGAGGTTCTTCAGCATCTCAACCTCCCTCTTCTCCCAGGCCACCCCGGGGGGGGCCCCTGGCTCTCAAACCCTGCTCTTTTCCACTCCAGATGTTGCAAATCCCTCAGCTATTACTGATGCAGCAAAGATTGTGGAGGGGAAGCTGAACGGCATGGGCTTGAACCTGCTAATAAACAACGCTGGCATCTATACTCCGTCGTCGTCGCTGGAGACAGCAGACACAGAAGACATGATAAGGACGTACAAGACCAATGCGGTGGGGCCGATGCTGATGGCCCAGGTATGGATAAAGCTCTGGGGTTGGAGGTCACCATGGAGGGGGAATTTAGCTCAGCCCCGGGCTGTCAGTGGTCACGATGGAGATCTCGGGGTTTTTTGCCAGGCTTTCCAGGGCTGTGGGAAGGAGGGGACAGTGCTGGGGCTGTGCTCCCAGCCCAAGCCCTCTGCAGCCCCACCACAGTGTGCTGGGCTAACTGGGAGTAGGCAGGGCCACTGCAGCAAAACACCTGGGATCTCTTGGCTTCCCGCTGTTCCTCCTCATCCTCCCTGCTGTAGACAGGCTCGGTCACAGTAGAATCATAGAATCACTTTGGTTGGAACAGATCTTTAAGATCATAAAGTCCAACCTTTAACCTAACCCTGCCATCCCACCACTAAACCATGTCCCTACAGTAGCTGTAAGTGTGGCTGGCTCAAGGCACAGGTGTCACACAAGGTTGCTTCTCCCCAGGCGTTCCTGCCCCTGTTGAAGAAAGCTGCCCAGGCAAGCACAGAAAAGGGGCTGAGCTGCAGCAAGGCAGCTATCATCAACATCTCCAGCATCATGGGGTCCATTGAGAAAACACCCGAGTCCTTCTTCAAGCCTGTCATCTCCTACCGCTGCAGCAAGGTATGGAGACCAGGGACCTGCCCGCCCTCGTGAGCTCAGCAGGGGTTGGAGCTGCCCCTCAGCAGACCAGGTCTCAGGGCAGCACCTTGTGATGGTGAGATGGAGGGACTTCTTCATGCCGATTGCTGCCCGGGCTCCCTGGGCATCTCCATGCCCAGCTGCTGCCCACCCTGGGGACACATCTCTTGAAGTCCTGCTGCTGCTGCTTTTTCTCCTTTGCCGTGAGGCAGCACTGGGAGGAGACTGGTGAGACCTCTCATGGACCACTGCATCCAGCTCTGGAGCCCATAGCACAAAAAGGACATGGAACTGCTGGAGTAGGGCCAGAGGAGGCCACAAAAATGGTCTGAGGGCTGGAGCCCCTCTGCTATGAGGCCAGGCTGGGAGAGTTGGGCTTGTTCAGCCTGGAGAAGAGGAGGCTTCGGGCAGACCTGACTGCAGCCATTCAGTGCCTAAAGGGGGCCCATAGGAAAGGTGGGGACAGACTTTTTAGCAAGGCCAGCTGTGACAGGACAAGGGTTGATGGTTTTAAACTAAAACAGAGTAGGTTCAGACTGGGTATAAGGAAGAAATTCTTTACAGTGAGGGTGGTGGAACACTGGAACGGGTTGCCCAGAGGGATGGTGGAGGCCCCATCCCTGGGAACATTCAAGGCCAGGTTGGACTGGGCAATCTGATTGAGTTGAAGATGTCCCTGCTCCCTGCAGGGGGGTGGGACTGGATGACCCCTAAAGGTCCCTTCCAACCCAAAACATTCTATGGTTCTATGACTCTGGTGCGTGGACCTTTCCCCTGCCCATGTCTGATGCTTCCTTCCTCCCCCAGGCTGCCCTCAACATGCTTACCAAGTGCCAGGCTCTGACCTATGGGAAAGCCGGGATCCTCTGCGTGGCACTTCACCCTGGCTGGGTGAAAACCGACATGGGCAGCCAGGAGGTGGGTTTCGGCTGAGGGGGTCAAGGGGGGTGACCCACAGGTGGAGACCCAAGCCTGCAAACTTGCAGTGGCACCAGAGGTGCCTCAGGTGGCTGGGATGGCTCTCGGGAGGAGGAATCTGTGTGAGAATGAGTTGCCTCTCAGGCTGCAAGTTGCCTTCATTGGTGCTGGGCCACTGCAGAACATGTGGGTGCTGCCCGGGAAATGGCATCAGCACATATCCACAGTGAGCAGGAGGCTGGCTCAGGGGGAAAAAGGCTGTGGGCAGCCTGGAGGTGTGCAGAGAACCTGAATCCAACAGAGCAGGGAGGGGAGGAGCAGCACCCTGCCATCCTGTGCCCCCTTTCTCGAAGAGCTGCAGGTCCACGAGGTCTCCGCTCATCCTGCAGGATCCCTGTTTTGGGGTGGGGGTGGGCCTGGGTGATCCCCTGCAGGGATCTTTTACGTGTCCTTTTGGTTTGAGCCTGTAGCTGGCTTCCCAGCCCAAGCTACCTTCACCCAAGCCTTTGGTGAGTGTGCAGATACCCAACCATCCTCCCACGGAATGGACCCATCCCGCCTCCCGTGGCTCGATCTGGGTGGAAGGAGCCTTCCTGCCGATGTGCCCAAGCCGGTGGATGGCTGGAAGTGATGGTGGGGTCTCAGTCCCGCTCCTCGCTTGTGCCCCATTGCAGGCTGACCTGACGGTGGACACGAGCGTCCGGGGGCTGCTGTCCGTGCTGCCAACCCTCTCTGAGAAACACAGTGGGACCCTGCTCAACTGGGAAGGTAAAGCTATTCCTTGGTGACCACTCTCCGTCCCTGCAAAGGACCCCACAGCGCCAGGGGACTCCCTGGGTGCTCTGGAGCACTGGGATGCTAAGCCCTCTGTGATCTGGAAGGGACCTACTTGGGACTCCACCACCGGGTGAGCAGGACAGGCTGTGATCCCTGCCCTCACGTTGCAAATAAATAAAGTCAATTAGTACCTGCACCTCCTCCCAACTGCAATGTCCCCACCAAGACTGTCACCGAGACTGCCCTGGCCTGGAGCTGGCCCCTGCAAAAAATAACCCGGCATTATAGCAGCCTGCCTGCCTTGCCTTCGACTGCTCTGGGCTGGAGGAAGGTCCTGGGGGGGCATGGAACCAGCCCAAAACTCTGCTGTCCTCCCTGGCTGCTGGATGTGCCCAGGTCTGCCCGGTCTCTGCCGTGCTTCCACCCAAAGCATGGGTGTCTTTGCTGCAGACTTCTTGGGGGGACTTTGTGCAGGACACGGTGGCCTTGGGAGCAGCTCTGAGGCTGGAATGGGAGGACCAGTTAGCACTGCAGCCCAGTTCTGCAGTCCCAGGCCAGCCCTTCCTAGTTGGGCACGGTACCCCTGGGTGGGGGAAACCTGGTCCCCTGGGGGAGCACAGCACTGCTGCAGGATGGAGAGGCTGAGAACCTCTGGGCTTCTGTGTGGGTCGGGCAGCCCCAGCCTGCGTGAATCTGCCCAGGAGGTGGTAACACCCCCAAAGAAAAGGACTTTGGGGTGGTGCTGGGTTTCCCCAGGAGGGTCCTGCCATTTCTGGGAAGAGCTCCCTGAGGGAAAAATGGGGAAAAGGAGCTGAGGCTCCTACAGAACCATGCCTGCTCTCAGGTAGGCAGAGAAACCTGGCTTGCAGGAGAGGCAAACCCTCTGCCCCTTCCCTCCGAGGTCACCACCTCCTCTTTCTCATCCAGAGGGTCAGCTGAAGCACCTCAGTCCCTCTGCGTCTGGCCTTTTCTGGGGTCATACCTCCCCCCCCCAGAGCTGGGGCTTGCCTGCCAGCACCAGCTTTGCTGGGAATCTTGAGGCCATGTGCTGCTCTGCACAGGAGCCCCCTCATTTCCCAACCAAGAGCACAAATGCTGCAGGTCCCCCCACGCAGGCTTCACACACACACACACACACACACACCAGGCAGACGGAGCATCGGGGCAGTCTGCTGAGCTGGGGCCACGTCTCTGCCCCAACAAGCTCCAACAAGCCCTGGCACCCGCAGCCTTGGTGAGTCACAGACACTGGTGAGTTTTTTCTTCCTCGCCAGCTCCAGTTCTTCCCAAGCCGGTGGCATTTTGGTAGCCAAGACTTTTGAGAGGCCGGGAAAGGGGACAGCAGGGAGCATCTGCAAGCGGGGTGCCAGCCTGGGCTTGGCAGCAGGGTCCCTGTGGCTGGAGGTCGCAGCGCTGCCAGAGCTTGTGAGCTTGGACTCCTGGCTCCTTCTGTCCCCTTCTTGGGGGTCCCAAGCAGCCCAGGAGCCCAGCCAGGGATAGGAGGAGAGGCAAGATCCCCCTGTGAAGTTCAGGGGTGCTGGGAGCATCCCCAGATGGAGAGGGTGTCCATTGCTCTGCGGGCCGCTTTCCATAATGGATGGGCAGGTCCTTACTGGAGCAGTTGCAGGGGCTGGGACACCTGGGCTGCCTGGAGCTCACTGTCTTCCCCATGTCCAGGCCGACGTGCCCTTGCCCAAGCCCAGGCTGTGCTTTCCAAGGCCCGCGGGAGACAGTGCTGCCAGCAGCGCTGCGGGAAGCCATACCCACGCAAGGCACCCACTGCTGTGTGGGTGCTCCCTGGCAGGGAGACGCTGGCCTCTGCTTCCTCCTCCTGCACTCAGCATCTGCCCAAAAGCACCGAGCCATTCTGGGGAGGGAGAGCGATGCCCTGGCTGAGGGCTGCGTCATCCTCCGGGAAGCTCTGAACCATCTGGGGCTCTTCCCAGCCACCTGATTTCCCATGCAAATGCTCGCTTGTCTTTGCTCTTTTCTTTCCCAGCTCATATCTGTGGCCAGAGCAGCCCCACCTGGGAGCCTACCCGGGCGTTTGCCAGTGCTGTGATGGCAGCAGGAGGAGAGAAATCCCTTGGGAGGAACAGCTGAGGGACAGGAGCATGGGTGAAGGGCCCGATCCTGCGGCTGTAGGGCTGCACTCAGCCTGGCACTGTCTCAGAGGCATGGCCAAGTCTCCACCAAGCACCCTTTCTGCCCCCTGGCAGAGGTTCTCATGCCCCAGTTGCTCCATACAAGTCAGCTGGAGAACCTCTGTGGGCTGGCTCCATGCCCATCCATCTCCAAGTTCCTCCCTTCTGCCCCACGCCCCGTGCTGGATCCTAGGAGATGACCTATGCCAGGGATCCCATCATCGTTGCCAGCCCCATGAAGTGGATGCAGCTGCTCCCCTGGGAACATGAGGAGAAACAGGGCTGCTGAAAGCTGGGACAAGCTCCATCAGCTTTGCTGATGGTCTGCGGTACTGGTGACACAGGATGGCTGCCCGCCTGCTGCAGCCAGGGGGTTTGGGCTGAGCTTGGGAGGCTGGCAAACCTGTGAGCATCTCTCGCTGGCCCCCTGGTAACTGGGACATCATGGCGTGGGCAGGGCACCAGGGACATGGGTAGCCCTGGGTGCCAAAGGCAGTGGGAGGAGGAATGGGAAAGCTCTTGCAGGTGAAGCCCATGAGAACAAACCTCGAGGGGCTGCTGGACATTGAAGCACCATGAGCATCAGGCTGTGGGAAGCCCAGCGCTGCACTCTTCCCTAGGGGTGCCAGTGCAGCAGGCTAATTGCCATGGAGAGCCAAGTCACAGCAGGTCAGTTGATCCTAATTTTTTCAAGCCAACTGGAGGCTGGGGCAGCACGATCCAACTCGGACCTCTGCAACTGGGAATCACCCTTGCTGAGGGCTTTGCCATCACAAGCGAGGCCAGCTGCTCCACAGGAGCCCATCCTTGCACCCTTTGAGACAAGGCTCATCCGGGAGCACGTGCTGGGGCTGAGCTGCTGGGGACTGTGCTGGCCACCATAACTCAGTGGCCAGGGATGCCCGAGCACCTTAAGGTGCTTCAGGATATGTGTTCCTCGGCGAGGGGCCAGACAGGCAGGTCACCCTGCTCAAATGCTTGCCACGTGGTGTCAGCTTTTCCTTTGCACAAGTTCCATGCGTTGGTGCTCATGCAGCTGATATCTCCCCATTTCCTCTCTTGCCTGATGTTTCCTGCCTCGCTCGCTCCCTTTTGCTGGCTTTGCCCTTTGGGTCAGGCTTATCTCCTGGCTCTGGGCAGCATCAAACCTCAGCGTCCACCCTGCCCACCGTGATGGCAAGGTGTAGCCCTGAGCACTGTGCCCTGTGCCTGGGCTGCAGCACGGTGCCCCAGGGAACGCTTGAAATGCCAGCTCCACTGGCCGTCTAGGAGCTCCTTGGCAAGCTGGGACAGAGCAAGGAGGATTTAGGATCCATCTGCTTTTAGCAGCTTGATCCATCTCTGTTCTGAAGCTGGGGGACGGGTGCCGGCTGGCCCAGCGCATTGCCTGTCCTACAGCGTGCCCGTCACTGCCACAGGGGGATGCTGGGTCCAGCAGTAGGGAGACCTGGACACCCCCTTGGGGACTCTCCAAGGGCACAGGAGCCTGGCTGGGGACGGCCAGGGGCCACGGGTGGGGAGGTTGTCACCCAGAGCAGCTCAGACTGTCTCTGCCAGCCCCCGTGGGGCTGCGGTAGCATCTGGGGGCAAACACATCTCTGCTCCGGGGAGCCCAGGCTCCAGGGACCAACCTCAGTGCGCACTGCAGGGGTGGGAAAGGCCGATATTTTCCATTTTTTCATCCTCTTTCAAGACCAATAACTACCCCCAAAGACTTGTTGCACCAGGAGCTGGGATCAGACATGTCCATGGGTCAGGACAGGAGTGAGGAGGACATGGGGAGTCCTGTCAGGACTTGCCAGGATCGGGGCAAGACCCGTTTTGAGAGGCAACCTCCCATGCCCAGGTGGGGCGAACAGCAGCAGGCAAGAGCCCCCGTGGAACACAAAGCCCACTCTAGGAGGAGAGGGGCAAAAGAGGAGGCTGGGAATGGAAGAGGGCTGCTCCGGTGACACCGATGCAGCTGTGGAGGTGGAGCAGGAAGAGGTCACGAGCAGCCAGCACATGAGGAAGCACTGGGACATCAGCGGAAGGATGGCTGGGGCGGCCGGTCGCAGCAGCTCCAGGTGCAGCAGAGCTACACTGGCCCAGGAAGGACCAAGAGGCAACCAGAACTGCGGGGACCTCAGCCAGGACCTGGAGAT